GCGACAACCAAAGAGCAATCTTTGCTAAGTTGAATGAACTTACAGAATGTAAAGATGCTGAGGACAAGGAAGCTGAAAAGAAGAAAGTTGGAGAGATTTTTGAAAAGAAAGGGATAGGAAAACCAAGGGGCACATTTAAAGAAAAGCAAAAGCAGTACTTTGAGATGGTAAAGTCTGGGAAGATAAAGAACCATTGCATAGATGCTACTGCTATATTCTTCCCAAGTGGTGAATTTAGGTATCCCCAGTCCTCAGCAATCAAAGTAGATTGTTCCCCGCCATCGCCCATGATGCTCTTCACCACCCTCCTGTTGAGCACCTTTGCCGCTGGCTACCATTTGCCTGAGCCTCCCAATTGCAGCGAAGAAGAACTCATGAACGGCTACAATTACACTCTTCGTGGCGGGTGGATGGACCTCACTATGTATCACACATGGCCGCGCGACCTGGACCGACATGGCCGTATGGGAGCTATCAACTTCACTTCGGCGGCAGGCATTTGCACGAAAAAAAATCTGGCCAATGCCTCAGGAAATGGATCACCCTTCTGTATCAGCACCCCGCTTCTTTTCTTCAGCCAGTGCCTCCGTGTCAAGAAATCGATCCCTTTGACCGTGACCAATGTGACCAATATTCTTTCGTCCTGCCACGACTTTGAATCCATTGGAACAGACGTCCTGAACGAGGCGAAGTTTCCTTTCGAGAGTCGCTTCTGCCACAAGTCCCTGCATGGTGACCTCACGAGGCTCCTTTTAGTGGGCACTCGTCAAGGTGTGGAGCGATGGATTGTGGAGACTTGCCATTGGATGAAAGCAAGGATGTGCCACAACCCTGAGATGATGATCTTTCGTAATTTCGTACCGGGATCAGGTTGATTCTAGTAATGCGACACTGGGACGCTCCCGTCTTAGTTGTGATGACACGCAGTTTGTCCCTGAACGTGACACTGGCGTGCTCCATTGCTTTCTTTTGCCACGGGATGAGAGGTTCCCAGCTTGACGCTGACCACGTAGTGACGTAGTTGCTCTGCAAAAAGTGATGAGGCGTTGTTGTGATTTATGGGGAAATGGTTTATCATTACATTGTTTCATAATTCTGGGCACAAATGTTCAACAAGACAAGTCTTGTTGAAAAAATGGGAGTGTATTGGATGATTTGTTTGATTAGTTATTTGTGGTTAGCTGTTATGATTGCTTGTGGGTTGGTTGTTTGTGGTTAGTTGTTCTGATTGGTTTTGTGATGTTTTTTGTGGTGAGTTTCTGTTCTGGTTTATGGGGGTATTGTTTTAGGCTGATGTTGTTTCATAAATCTAGGCAGTCAATTTTTCAACAAGACAAGTCTTGTTGGACAGTTGGAGTTCTTTTTTGATTGGGGTATGTGATTAGTTTTTCTGACTGCTTGTGGATTGGGTGTTTTTGGTTAGTTGTTATGAAATGTTTGATGTTTGCCGGGGTTGATGTGTGTATGTTGGGGGTTGTAAGGTTTGGGGTATCATCTATAAACCGGGAGTTTCCAGCTAGCCAGCTTAGATTTCCTGCTGATATCCGATTCAAGGCTGATCCATACCATGCGATGACATGTCCGGAACATTGGCCATAAACCCATGAGCAGAGACAAAATCCCTAGATGACATCCGCTTGCGAGGTGATCACTCAAAGAACAATGATTCAATGCGTCAGAAAAGACGCTTGCGAGCAAAGAAAAGAAACAATATCTACCAAAGGTAGTATGGTTGCCAACCGTCTTGGTTGCGAACAATGGTTGTTTCAATCTCCATGTTTTGGTCAAAACAAAACCGTGAGGCGGGTCATTGAGGTCCAGCGGCCTTGCATCATGGAATGGTGCCATGGCGGAGGTGATGGAATGGTGAAGCTGACTGGAAAAAAAAACAACTCCCAAAAAGAGAGAAGAGTCAAATCCCGCTAAATTGGTGATCCGTTGCTTTTCTATCTACCTTTTTTGGGATTACTATATATATATATTATATTGCATATATTATATACATAGACACTCGTATGTTTTGGTAATCAGCAAAGCATTTTGATGTGAACCAAATGGCATAGCGACCATCCCAGCAACCACAGTCGGAGGCTCATTTTTGTTCATCGCATTACTAGGGGTATACCCAATACCAAACCAGAATTGGGGATTGGGGCTGTTTCTTGGGTTTCCCTCATTCGGTTCACGGCTTTCCAGAATAGGCGTTTACCGGTCAGCAGGAGTGGGTATTCCTGCAAAGTTGGGGTTTGAAGCAACAGACCCCTGAGCACAATTTTTCTCACTTCATTGAGTCCACTTGGAAAAGCACTGATGGAAAGATGCAGGAAAACATACTTAAGATGTTCTAAAACTAGATGTGTGATGTTTTTCCTCCAATTTCAATGGCTCATTTCCGCAATGCTCTGTCCCTTCCTCCCGTCCCATTGTTCAAATTCCCAAGGCGCAGCAAAAGGAAAAGCGGTCCTGTGTCGGGGACCTCCAGTTTTTGGTCGGCTCCAAATATGGGAAAAGGTAAACAAATATTAGCGACAACCAAAGAGCAATCTTTGCTAAGTTGAATGAACTTACAGAATGTAAAGATGCTGAGGACAAGGAAGCTGAAAAGAAAAAGTTGGAGAGATTTTTGAAAGAAAGGGATAGGAAAACCAAGGGGCACATTTGAAGAAAAGCAAAAGCAGTACTTTGAGATGGTAAAGTCTGGGAAGATAAACAACCATTGCGTAGATGCTACTGCTATATTCTTCCCAAGTGGTGAATTTAGGTATCCCCAGTCCTCAGCAATCAAAGTAGATTGTTCCCCGCCATCGCCCATGATGCTCTTCACCACCCTCCTGTTGAGCACCTTTGCCGCTGGCTACCATTTGCCTGAGCCTCCCAATTGCAGCGAAGAAGAACTCATGAACGGCTACAATTACACTCTTCGTGGCGGGTGGATGGACCTCAGTATGTATCACCTATGGCCGCGCCGTATGGGAGCTATCAACTTCACTTCGGCGGCAGGCATTTGCACGAAAAAAAATCTGGCCAATGCCTCAGGAAATGGATCACCCTTCTGTATCAGCACCCCGCTTCTTTTCTTCAGCCAGTGCCTCCGTGTCAAGAAATCGATCCCTTTGACCGTGACCAATGTGACCAATGTTCTTTCGTCCTGCCACGACTTTGAATCCATTGGAACAGACGTCCTGAACGAGGCGAAGTTTCCTTTCGAGAGTCGCTTCTGCCACAAGTCCCTGCATGGTGACCTCACGAGGCTCCTTTTAGTGGGCACTCGTCAAGGTGTGGAGCGATGGATTGTGGAGACTTGCCATTGGATGAAAGCAAGGATGTGCCACAACCCTGAGATGATGATCTTTCGTAATTTCGTACCGGGACCAGGTTATTGATTCTAGTAATGCGACACTGGGACGCTCCCATCTTAGTTGTGATGACGCGCAGTTTGTCCCTGAACGTGACACTGACGTGCTCCATTGGCCTGGACAAAATTAGCGGAAGACCAAAGTAGTGGGGAGTGGACATGGGATGTTCAAATTTGTGCGAAAACATTCACAATCGATAGGGGACTACCCACTTGCCGATACCCTATTTCTACACACACAGCATGGAAGTACACACCTTCACAACCAATAGGGGACCACCCACTTTGGCCATGTCCATTGCGGGTAGTAAGTAATTTTGTCCGCCACTCATATATATATATATACATATATATATATACTTATATATATATACATATATATATATATACATATATATATATACTTATATATATATATACATATATATATACATATATATATACATATTATATGTAAAATGTCTATATATTATATGTAAAATGTCTATAATATATCTTTTGTGCTGAAGACGGAAGCAGGGGCCTGGGTAGAAACCTTCGAAGCCTGGGGAAGCCTCAGTTGGTCCTGTCAGGAACTTCCCTATCAGAAGTGGCCGGTGAATCTGAGAGATGTGGGCATCACTGGTTAGGGTCATCGTAAGGTTCAATGCGAAAAAACAGTTCTACACGATGGTACTGGAAAATGTACCCCAATTTGCAGCTGAATCTTCGACTGAATCAGTGCCTTTGAGGTCCGATGGTCACCAAGTGACAATAACTCAATGTGGTTCGGTGAAGAGCAACATTTGTAACTCTGGTAATGAGAGACGGAGCAAGGATATAAATTGATCCAAGCCCAGTCATGGCTGAAATTCAAATAGGTTTTACTGTTTTTTTTTGCCCGCAAAAAAAAACTGGATATTTCTGGCATTTGCAAGGTCAACTAAATTTCACCGAACCTCATCTGGGTTGGCTTACTTTTAGTGTCTTCTTTGTTTGCACTTGCGACTTCACCAAGTGAAGTTATTTGGTGCAAAAAGAGGTACGACAGGGCTCAGATTCCAGCTTGCGAGGATTTGTCTGATAATTTAGGGGAAAACCCCAACAAAATCCAATGCTTGGTCATGACTTTCCCCTATCGGAAAGGCTATGTTAAGGTACACGCCATCTTTAGACACACCCATGTTCCATTGCGGGGAGTTTTCAAGCTGACTCCCAGGAGAGGAGGTTCATTCTACTGGTTGTTAGGTTCTTGTACTAAGTATTATTAATGACTATCATTCTTGGGTACTAAGTATTTTCATAGCAGTCATTTATATACTAAATTGGTTGACTGAATCAACCAGGGTATTTCTAATGGCGCAATTTCAGGCTCTTGACACCACGCCAGGTGGTGCTCATCACCGAGAGACATCCCATGTTGCAGGGAATAACATGTTGAGAGGTGAGCAGTCTCGGATAGGACAACGAATCCAAACAATACTTTAAAAAAATGCAACTGGATAAATGAAGTGAAGCTGAATATTTGACATTGCCTTCGAAGTTTCAACCGCTGCAAACTCTAGGTTTTGCACCACAACAAATGCAAAAAGATCGTGTCAGAAAGTTTGGAGCGTCCATCCTAACAGATGAATCCAGGGTGAGAAACGCAGTGTCGGCGGTCACCATGGCAGAAGGTGAATCTGAGGCTGATGCGATGTGAATCTGGACCCGACTGGACCCTTGATTCTTGTGGGGCTGCTTTTAAATGGAAACATCACCATTTCAACAATGGGGGAACATGAATTCATTGAACACTTCGATTTTTTATGAATGCCAACAGGGGTTTATCGTTCTCGGGGACTTTCGAGGTATTGGGGGTTATCAGGGATCAGCCGAAACACGAGAGATAGATGTTTCGGCCCCCGTGAAGTTTTTCCCCTAGGTATCCGCCTAGGGCCTAGGGGGTGTAAGGATAGAGAAATTCATTGATAGAGATTTTCAGCTCCACTTATGTCTCTCTTAACAAATCGATATAATATTGGGATCCATAGAAATTCCATTTATCTCCATGGATTGTGTTCCCCTCAGCCACTCTGAAGGGCTTAGGAATGCCCACACCATCCCTGCAGGGCGACAAAGCTGCCGACCAAGTGCCTGGCTCGTTGCCTGAGGACAGGGATAGCGAGTGAGTGAGTCAACGGTAGCAGGAAGTCAAACATGGGACCAGTTCCGAGGTCATGTTCCCAATTGAGTTCCTACCTAAAGGTGTTCCACTGACCTCGTATTGCTGGGGGTTACTTGTTGAATTCCAATGGGAGCCGAGAATTTTGACCTGTTCGCGTAGTCAAGCAGAATGAACATCTGAGGGTTGGTGGTGACCATCTGGTTGAGGCAACATATTTACAATCAGAAAGCACTGAAAGCGAAGCAGACGGAAACCTGACCCTGCTTTTGTCATCGCAGGAGAGATGACATAAGAAAGTGACAACTCCCATAGCACGTGCAGGAGTTCTTGCAATTCCTAGATGCCAATGGTGTCCCCAAAGAGGTGGGGTTGCCTTTGATCTGCCACTGAATGAGGAGAAACCACCAATCACTCAAGGAGAAAAGGGATGAAGAGGTTAGGAACTACCAGAATCATGACCCCCGTCTGGGGTACCAAAATAGAATGAGGGGGCAGGAGCCCCTTTTAAAATAACAAATATATAAATAAATTGAAAATAAAGTGGGTTAGACCCCAGCATTTTATTTTGTGGGTGGATTTTATTTTTTGAGGTGCCTAACCCATCAAGTTAACTGACAGAGATAGCATGATAGCAAAGATGCACAGCTGTGAACGGTCTGATCATTTTGTGAAACGTTCCAGAGATTTGGAATTACTTGGACATTAACTTCGAAAATGGGTTGGCCCCCCTCATTTTCTATTGCCTTCCTTGGCCAACAAAGACACACGGGCAGCTTACAGCAACCAATGAGATTTCTTCAGTTTATTTATATTTATTTATATTTTTTCTAGAAACCATCCAGATGTCAGAAGTGGAACCAATTATATATATATTATATTGATCGAAATCCGCACGATTTTTCCTTCCTGTTGGCACTTGAAAAGGCTAAACAAGACTAAACATGATTAACCAATCAAATAAGGAAACAATGTAAAGGACTAAACAAGACTAAACAACACTAAACATGGTTAAAACCAATCAAATAAGGAAACAAAACTAAACAAAATCAACCCAAAAGAAAATGCCGGAGCCCGAGGTCCAACAGTTGCCAGGTGGAGGGTGCCTGACGTCATATTCTTTTTGTACCTGTCCATTGTATTTTGCTTGGGTTTTCCTATCTTACCCTATGCCCTCTCATTTTATTGGCATTTTGTCCTTAGGCCCCTGCATTTTATTATATTTTTTTAGGGGTTCCACCCCCCTTTTGGCAACAGCCGGGGGTAATCATGATGAAAGACTTTCGTTTCAATCATTCCATCATTCCAATTTCGGTTGTGTCTTTGTTACGCTTTATCTTTTTGGATTCAGGACACAAGCGTGGCAAAAAACAGGTTTCATTGCACAACGACCGACCCGAGTTGAGGTCTTTACTGGTGCCATCCGGCAAGAGATCCCTCGCTATGTCCGTGTGAATCCGAGGTGTGAATCGTTCAGACTGGGATATCATGTGGGTCTCATGAAACACCATCTATGATTATGATATATTCATATTACATCATATTACATCATGATGGAATCATTTCATATATATATATATATGTATATATATATGTATATATACATATATGTATTTTCTTTCTTTCTTTCTGGGCGATTTGAAGCTCAGCTGCTCGCCAACGTGACACTTGGAATTCCGATGCAATCTTACATGGGCCTTTGCATGTCTCTGAGGCACAGACCTTGCAATAAATAAAAATAAAAAGACATAGATAAAAACAAATAAAAAGAAAAACACAATACCTGCAAAGAACCATGCAAGTGTGAAACACTTGGCTGTAGAAAAACAGTCTCTCTCCCCCACTGTACCTTGGCGTGTCTCCGCTCGTGAAGCCTGCAGGGTCCTCCGTCTATGGGCTGCAACTTGCAGCTGTGTCCCACTGCTGACATTCACCAGAATTCTGGACCTGATGATTTGCGAACGCTGTAACCCTTTGCAAGCTCACGACGTTGTGATCTGTAGCCTCCGCTGTGGATGACCTCTGAATCTGATAGTGTTCCAAGAAACTCTCAGCCACCAATCGGGCGCAGTCTGACGGGCTCTCTGTCAAACGCTCCGTGCACCTGACCTCTTCTGGTGTGCTCGAAAGCTGCGCCGCACGGCAGTGTTCTTCAAACAACGGCATCCAAGCGGAAAGCAAATGCGTTGGGGCACCTTTTCTTATGTCATGCGCTGACACGCGACGGCACAGAAAGTGCAATCGCACCCCTGGGCATTGAAGCAACCATTGAATGTATGCTATCTTCCACACTGATGGCATCCTACCCCCTTGCCTAGCTGGGTGTTGCATGACCACTGCAACACCATGTACAAGGCATGCCAGGAAAAGGCGGAGAGCTGCAAACAGAGCCTCATTTTCTATCAAAAGTTTTTCGATGGCGAAGAACATAAATTGAGGAATGTCCAAGGAGAACTTCGACCAGCGATGAGAGCTGCAGCAGACATACTTGGTGGGTGTGCTGACACAAGAACTATTGACAGTGCCTTCTCGTACCAGCACGAAAGGGATGAACATCTGAGAGTCAATGTTGGAACGGCTGTCAAGATAGTTGCTCGTGCCTACAAAAAGAAGAGTAAGCAAGAGAAACGCAACATCGCCCATAGAGTGCATGAAATATTGCGCTGCCTTGAAGGCGAGGATGCAAGTTGGGCTGCAGCTTTGATCTTGTATTTCGCGAGCGGTTGTGAAGGACTCGATGCAGTATGGAGCTACATGGAAGAAAGAAGAATGCTGCAGATGGAGCGACTTTCATTCCTGGCGTATACCAAGGAATTGACAACTCTAGTACACAAGTTTGGAAAGCCACCAGTTGGTATGCTCAAGTTCGATGATGATGACAGACAGCAGGTCAGAGCATATTATGCGTGGCAATACTTGCATGTACTTGTAGGTCGCGGAAATTTCAGCGATGAAAGGGAGGAAGAAGTTGCTGACAGGCAGAAAGATCTCCCAGGAAAACGAGCTTTCGATGTCGCAAAACAAAAATGGACAGAAGCTCAATACCAAACAGACATGGATGACGTGGCTGACAGGCTCCGTGAAAATGTTGTGCGAGCAGGGTATGGTACCAAGCTTCTCACTTTTGATGCTTTTTGGCAGGAATTGTGGTGCCTCGGGACTCAAGGATTTGCAGCACAATCCAAGTTCATGCTCAACATCACACGGAAGCTGAACGGACAAAAGGCTGCCACCAGCAAAAGATACATGATCAGATTGACCAAGAAGGGGGCGATTAGCCTACTGTCCAAAGCAGAGCTCAGGAAAAGGCTCGAAGAGGACGGGATCTGTTCGAGCACCGGAAGTCTCAAATACGAAGAGGAAGCAGTAAGGACCCTCTTCGCAGGAGATGTGGTGCACTACTTGATCTCCGCGTGGGCGACAGCCAAATTAGAGGAATCTATGTACCGGGGCTCAAGCATTGTGACGGACCTGGGATTGCAGGCCATCGATGAGCTCAAATTCATGTTGCGTATGTCCGAACATATGCACAGGCGGACGTGGGCATTCGCCTACGACTTCCGCAATTTTAACGCGCAGCATTCAAAGCAGGATATGAAACGCTATTACCAGTTGCTTAAAGAAGCTGGGACCCAAATTGATCACAATTACGATTGGATCAGGGCAATGGACGGGTTGTTGGAGAGCGTCGACAACACCTGCAGACGTGCCACTGGTGACAAGAAATTTGTGAGAGCATTGTCTGGGCTTCTTTTTGGTATACGTGCAACACAAGGGATTAACACATCTATGAATATCTCGTACATGGACGTGATAAATAGATGCATTGACAGGATCATTCGGAGTACATTCACCTTAGATTCGAAAAGCCATGGTGATGATGTGAATGCTCTGATCGACAGTTGGTTGTGCGGTATCCTCATGTTCTACTGTGCACAAGAGATCGGCTATGTTGCACAAGATCTCAAGGTCACACTTGAAGCTGGACGCACCCAATACCTTCGCATTGCATATGGAAGGGATAGAAGCTTGAATGGCTATCTGGCTCGTGCAATCGCAAGGTTTACCAGCACAGAGTGGAAACCACGTTATCGCAGTTTGCTAGCTGATAGGCTTGGAGAATTGAATGCCCAAATCAGTTTGCTCAGACGCCGTGGAATGTGCCAGGAAATGGCCAATGCAACATTTGATGTGATGCGACAATTCTACGGAGGTGAAGGGTCTGGACTGCCTGGCTATGTGAAGCTTAGTGATGCACTGGCGCATAGCTGCGTTGAATCAAATGGCGCAGGGATCTTGCACACAGAAGATGATGAAGAGCCGATCTACTTGATCGCTGAATGCATGCCAAGAGCACCAATCACACAGCCAACGGGTGAGGTGCTACGTGTAATCAGCAGCATGCCCAAGAAAGCAATCTACAGGTATTGGCATTTGCTGGCCGAGAATTTCCCAGATATCAACGGTTTGCACACAGAGAAAACGAGAGATAGAGAAGTGGC